CATATGTATCAATTGATATGTCGAATTTGTATGCACATATTACCAACAGTCCCGGCAAGATGGGTTCAAGCCTTCAAGGATATTTTGTATGATACTACCGACAAAGAGAATAAAAGCTAGTCAGAAAATACACCTTAAAACGCAGCTTTCTGCTTCTAGTGAGTGGGTAGCATATATAGGCCGACCTGTGTATCAACATATTAGGAGAGGACCCTTTCTTGAATGGATATTATGATCGTCATGTAGTGATGTAGGTATGAAATACTAGGGGTGGGGAAAAATACCGAAATTTCGGTTTACTGGACTTACCATATCGAAAAATACCGAATTTACCGAAATGGTTGGTATACCGACACTTTCGGTACGGTATGATATCGGGTATGATTTCGTACTGAATTACTTCGGTATGGTATCGGTATATATTTTGAAAATAAACGGTATACCGGTATACCGTAATTCCAAGCAAATAATCTCTTTAAAATTATAAAAATGACTAGAAACACAACATTAATTCAAGGATAAATGACTTTATATCCATGTTTCTTGAATATTTATACTTTTTGTTGGCAAGTGGTTTTTTTTAAATTATATTTATGTTATTTAAATTATTTTAGCAGAATGTGATGTTATATAAATATATTTATAATATTTTTTGTTCAAAGTTGAATAGAACACCAATAGGTTATCATTGGTAAATCATATGATATATTAACACATAGGTTACAATTAATTTCATTAATGATTTTAGTATATCATTATTAACACATATTTTCTATATTTATTTGACATATAATAATTGGTTATATTAAATCATTATGATAATTGACCGATACCGTACCTTACCGTACCGAAATTTCGGTATACCGAAACAAGGTATACCGAAATTTCGGTATGGTAACGGTATGTAATTTTCGGTATGGTAAAGGTATGAGCTAAAATATTCGGTATACCGTACCGAATAGTCATGGACTCGGGCCGGTTCCGGGCCAGGCCCGGCCGGGCTTTTTTTGGGAAGGAAGGCCCGGGACCGGCACGGGTAGCCACCGGGTCCGGTCCGGGTCCGGGCCGGGCCTCCGGTTTGTTTTGTTTTGTTTTGTTTTTTGTTTTTTGCTTTCCTAACCCCCCCTCACCCCCCCCACCCCCCAAAAAACCCCCCAAACCCCTCCTAACCATCAAGCCCAACCTGGGTGTATCCCAAAAAATGAAAAAAACCGGGCCCGACCCGGCCGGGCCAGTTCGCCAAATACAAGGCCCGAGCCCGGACCCCCCCACCGGGCCTAGGCCCGACCCGGACCCAAGAACTGGGCCGGTTCCGGTCCCACACAGTATCGGGCCGGGCCGGTCCCGGGCCGGGCGGCCCGAACCGGGTCCATGACTAGTACCGAACCACCCCTATGAAATACTCGAGGACTTCGTACCTTCTATTCCAAGTGTCTTTGTGGTACACTTGGCACATAATTTCTTTTAATAGTTCTCTAGGCAATGGCATACTGTGTCTTTGTAAGAGTGTGACCCTAGTTAAGACGGTTGAGCCTCACAACAATAAATACACCTCGATCCTTCATGTGAGGCCACTCTTTTCGCTAGAGTTAAGTAGTGATTTATGTGTTGATTTAGCTTAAGTCAACAGTTTGAACTTGTAATATATCAAACTGCTACCTTTGAGCGAAATATTTATACATATTCTAATGTGTTTGAGATGTTTTGCTTCATATGGTTGAGTTTACCACTTGCGTCACTTTTCTTAGTCCTACCACCTCTTTGATCCATTAGAAGAACAGACCAAGTCGTTGTTGGGGTATGGTATGTACTAACATTAAAGCCATGTGTTACATCAATAGCCAAGCAAACAGCTGTCTCATTTTACTTTTGTTCCTCATGATCGTTAAGTATACCAAATGAGCATGGTGTGCTGGTGAAGTTCCATCCAACAAAAGCACTTTCTCAAGATGAAGACCTTTGTGAAATGTAGTCTCATTCATGGAACGCCACTGAAAGACAAAACAGACTAGGAAGAACACAAGTAGCATCCAAAGCTAATCAAGCGTCCTAGCGCTCCGAGAAGATGTTTGAAAGTGTTTGGCCTCTTCCTAAATTAATTGTGCTTGCAAGAGGATGAAAACAACTAAATGAGTGTCATTGGGCTTCTCTTGCAATGAGTAAGAGTTTAGCCGTTTAATAGAGTGTTGGGCAAGTGAATGTGGAACATGTATTTTTGGCCCGTAAGTGCAACTCAAATCTCTGTGCCCAATTACCTGTTCTCAAACTCAAAGAATTCGATCATCATAAACTTCATTATTACAGTACCAAAGATCAGATTAATTTTAGACAACAATCAGAATCTCCAATATTTTAATTAACTAAGATTAAATGTGCTAGTAGTTTATATTTTATTTTTTTCATTCATTACACAATATATTAACCACGAAGGAAGTTACTACGTTCTACAGCTACATGCAATGCCCCTTATCTCCGTAGTACGTTTTCAAAACTACCAACTAAAAGAGTGTTTACACTTGCTTCTACTTTTATGAAGTGATTTGTTTTAAAGAGTACGCAAAAAATGATTAATAGTAAAAGTTAAAGGTGTTCGAAAATAAAAGTGATTTTGAAAAAAGGTAAAAAGTTAAAGTGTTTGATAAAAAATAGTTTAAAGCAAAACCAAATTACTAAAATGGCAAATTAAAAGGATCGGAGAGGGTTATTAGAGAATTTAGTAAAAAAAGTTCCGGGATTTCTTGATAATTAAAAAAACTAATGTATTGGTTCAAATGTTAAGATTGTATCAAATGTTTGTTTGGCTTAAAAATGATTTATTGGTGTTCTGAATTAAAAAAGATTTGTTTCAACATATTTCGGGTGGTTTTATACTTATACTAGTATGTGTACCCGTGCAATGCACGGGTAAATATGTGTTTAAAGATTTTATTGAAATTGTAGGGAAAATGAATTGTATGTTAATTTATCAGTCAGAGTTTAAAAAAAATTCAATCGACTATGGATATAGCTGTCAAAGTGAGTCAAAATTCATAGGGCTAACTCAATCTCATTTCATGGTGGGTTAGAGTTGTCATTCTTCAATCTGATGAACTCACCGGTTTCGTGATGCAATTTGCACGAGTTGAAGGTTAAATGAGTTACCCATGCAGGTTGCGAGTAAACCAAAATATAAACATCTATTTTTAACTTTCATTGTGTTCAATATTGATGCTTTACTACCAAAATAATTTTCAAAGATACTTATTAATTTACAACCCTTGTTGAACTATTGTTTCTATATATAATAATTGTTCAAACAAATCACTATAGCATTATTTCTATATATGAACCAGAACGTTAGATTTGAAGAATATATATATATATATATATATATATATATATATATATATACACACTCTATATATATATGATTGAGTTCAAATGAGAAGACACTTTAACGGGTAAAGGAGAATTAGAATGTCAAATTTGAAAATTGTGCATTATTTGAAATAGAAATATGTGTTGTCATAAATTAAAAAAATGTAGTGACATTTTTGTAAATAAATTCAACCTTTCATGTCTATTTAAAGTCTGAATTATATTAAATATAAGTGTATTGCGCACCTCCATTAAAAATAATGTGCATTGTTTGAGATCATTCTCATCTTTTGAGACCACTAGGCAATTAGACGATTCAAGCTATGAAAAACATAACCTACCACGTGTTGGGTAAGATTGGGGAGTGCTAACCCATTTAACAACGTGAACATAAATTGTGAAATATAAATAAATATGAGACAAAAAAACGAATCTACATTTAGACATTGATTTGGTAGACCTTGTGAATTAATAAATAGATAAGTAATATCACATTTGTCCCCTTAAGATCGAGACATGTGCAGCTATGAAAAAAGAGTTTATCTAGCTAATGTTGAAATGCAAAAGTAGGGACAATAATGTAAGAATGATTTAGAGCTACACATGTATTATAATATCTGGACCTACACAAACTTAGTGAACGAAAGAAAAAGGAAATGTCGGAGAAAATTAATGAGACAGGGGGTGTAATAATTATCATATTTTGGAAAGAAATAAAAAAATTTATAAAACCCCGAACAAGGGAGAAAAGAAATAGAGTAATTATTTTTGTTTTAATAGTGGCTAAAAATTGTAAATTATTTTTATTTTTGAGTATTTGGATTTTTTTAATACCGGCAAATGCAAAATTTTACTTAAAAATTTACCTAATTTTATATAGAACAAATTTTCTATAATATTGGAATACATAAGAGTAGAGTTTTGGAAGTTGAATAGCCTTTTCTTTAATTTATTATGTTGTCAAATGTCATTTTTTATGAAATAATTACATAAATATGATCAAAATAAAGATGGTTTACAAAATATGATTAGTTACTAGAGTAGTAATGAAATTTACAATTGTGCACATCTTTTTGACATGGTGTATGTGCTTTACTTCTATAGAGAGAAGCTGTCAAGCTGTGCTGTTTCTTTAGTTAGCTTTGAGCTTTAAACAACTTTCTGCACTGTGTTTGAAGGGCGAAATGCAGTAATAATGTGTATTTTAATTTAAAGTTTTATTATCTACCATTAAAATAGGTAGTATAAAGTTGTGAAGTGTAAACATCCTTGAGCCCAACTTGAATTTCAAAATAGAATGAGTGCAGTATATTACAAATAAGAGTTTAATACTCTATACTTACTATTATCGCTTGTTCTTTGATTTGTCAAGATGTGGTTCTTTTCACAACCTTTGATTTGCCCCTACTCCATTTCATGAATCAAAACTATTTTCAGCAGTTTGGATAGTTACATGTTCAATTGAGCGTTAAAGAGTCTAGTGAAATATATCGTGTTTTAAGGTTTTAAAAACTAGTAAATGATTATTTAAAAAATTAAGGAAGTAGAGTATATATATATGAAAAAAGATTGGGGTACACACTTTTTGTACCCCAAGTAGGCCTCTATATATATAAATGAAACTAAACAAAAATGTCAATGAAGGCACTTATTATTTTGAAAGTAACTTATCAAAATTGCAGTTGAAACTATGAATTAATTTATTATTGCTACTATTATCAAGAGGGCTGTGGGGCAAAAGATTATTCCTTTTTAAAGACTCTCATCTTGTTTGCTTATTTCTTTTAGTTCAGATTTTATATTACAGTATATGGCCGTAACATTGAGATTTTTTGGATCTGTGGAATGGGCGCAATTTTGAGATTTTCTGGATGTATGTAATGGCCGTAACTTTGACCAAATACCTATACAAGTTCTATTATTTTTATTGATTTGCAATTTGAATATTTTCATGTAGCAGAAGTTAAACTGTGTTCATTTAGGAAGATTGCTGTATTTTTAGGAACTGAAAAGGGAAAAAACTGATCAGTTTTGACCTTGTTCGGTTGCAAAACACAGATTCTCTCGTTTTGCTAACAGAGCCTGTAGAGAACCTTGGCTGTGATAGAGTTTGGCTGCAATTTCAATAAATGAGTCATGTTTTGCCGGCGGAAAAGGTTGCTCTCCATATTCTTGGTTGGAGTTCACCGATTTGGTCCATCTTATCCATTAAACCATCTGGCTCTACCTCAATACTTCACTAATCATTTCGTAACTCCCCAGTCACCATCAATACTGGACGATGATTCATCATGGTCTTTCAGGTTAGGGTTTCCTGCCTTTGGAGTCTTTTCTTCCTCTTTTTCTTCCCTGAGCAACAAACAATTGGAAGTCCCTTATTTGGACAATAAAGATGGTCATACCAAATATGAAGCTTGTAGTGATAGTGATGAAGACAATGGTGGACCTATAGTCCACGGAAGCCGAAATTATTTAACTGGAAGTCTTGAAAGAATAATGGGTATTTTACAAAATCCAGGGGCAAATGCATCTCAAGTGAATAAGCAGCTTGAGGAATGTCATGTAAAGGTTGTGCCTGAGCTAGTATCAGATGTCATCTCTAGGGTTCGTAATGACTGGGAATTGGCATTCACATTTTTTCTTTGGGCTGGGAAGCAACCAGGCTACTCACATTCTGTGCGTGAATTCCACTCCATGATTGCTATACTTGGGAAAATGAGGAAGTTTGACACGGCATGGGCATTAATTGATGAGATGAGGGGTGGGAGGAATGGACCGTCTCTAGTTACTCCACAGACACTCTTGATCATGATAAGGAAATATTGTGCTGTTCATGAGGTTGGAAAAGCTATCAGTACATTGTATGCACACAAGCGGTTTAACTTTGAAGTAGGAACAGAGGAATTCCAGAACTTCCTCTCTGCCCTTTGTAGGTACAAGAATGTAAGTGATGCTGAACACTTGCTGTTTGCAAACAAAGAAGTGTATGGTTTGAATACCAAGAGTTTCAATATCATTCTCAATGGATGGTGTAATATTGTTGGTGACCTTCGTGAAGGGAAAAGAATTTGGAGGCTGATGAAGGAGATGGGGATTCCCCGTGATGTTTTCTCATATTCCAGCATCATGTCTAGCTATTCAAAGTCTACTAATCTCAATGGAGTGCTCAAGCTTTTTGACCAAATGAAAGAACATGGTATTAGCCCTGATAGGAAAGTATACAATGCAGTAATTCATGCTCTTGCTAAGGGAAAGCTGATGAAAGAAGCTCGGAATGTAATGAAGTCGATGGAAGAGAAGGGTATATCTCCTGATGTGGTCACTTACAACTCATTGATCATGCCCATTTGTAAGCACCGTCTGTCATATGAAGCCAAGGAGATATTTAATGAGATGACACAACGAGGCATAACCCCAACTGTACGAACTTACCATGCTTTCTTTCGAATCATGAGGATAGAAGAAGAAGTTTTTGAACTCTTGAATAACATGCATGTAATGGGCTGTCAGCCAACACATGATACATACATCATGCTGATTAGGAAATTCTGCCGTTGGGAAAAAATTGATAGTGTTTTCAGATTGTGGACTGATATGATCAAGAATGGGCTTGATCCTGACCGAAGCTCTTACATTGTGCTGATACATGGACTCTTTCTGAATGGAAGGCTTGAAGATGCAAACAGATACTATTTGGAGATGAAAGAGAAAGATTTATTACCAGAACCAAAGATAGAAAAAATGCTTCAGGCTTGGGCTGCTAGTAGGCAAGCAGCAGGGCTATCGGTGACAAGTTCAGAGGAGAACACAGGGTGTTTTAGTAAACCAGTAAACAAAACTAGAACAAAACCCCAAAAAAGTGATAGAGGAAAGGATTTTTTGCGACAACCTGAAAGTAGAGCAGTCACAAGAGAACACGGCTTTTCTTTTTGGGATGAATAGCATGATTGATTCTTAAAAGTTTTCTAGCATGTTCATTTGGACTGGAATTTTCCGGTTCGTACATCTCTATTGTGTTCTGGTTTGATATTACATGTATTTTATTATTTACATGATGTTTCTTTGGTCTAGTGCTTTAGTTTGATTTGTTTAAGTTTGGTTTGGTCCAATATGATTTTTTTTGTACATTTATTCAAGGCTTTTCCATCATTTGCAATGAAGCCAAAGATTATTTTTTTGGCTTGAGAATATGATGGAATAAAACAAAATGGTTCACTAAACTGTCTGCACTTCTTTCTTATGAAGCAGCAGTCAGTCCATGCAATTTTGGACGCATTTTCACTATGGGTCATCCGGAAATAGTCTCTATGCTTTAGTACAGGGGTAAGACTGCTTACATCCGACCCCCCTTACCTCACCGTAGGTGGGAGCCTTTGCGGCGGCCCTGGGGTAAATGAAAATGAAATGACATTTATTCATGGCTGCTTTTATTGGGCGATGAAAAGTTATATAAGTACTCAAGCAAGCAAGCAACACATTGGGCACTTTATACCCTTGAAAGTGTCAATGCTGCTTTGAAAGTAAAAAATATCAGTCTAATTTCTGTGTATGTAGTTAGCCCATTCTTCTCTTGCCAGATTAGGGGTTGGTTACTTTTTTTTTCTATCAAGTCCTCTCTGGATTAAGAGGTCTATCTGGATTAAGATGATTAAGTGGTATTTGTATATGAGGTTGTTTATTTTGTGTGTTGAATAAACAGTCTAAATTGAGTAAAATAATCAATTTATTATTATTCTTGGGCAATGATGTTAAGTCTAAATTGAGAAATTTCATTTATTAACATAAATCTATTTCGCAATCGAATTAAAAAATTTGACAAAAAAGGTGTCTTAGTAGACGTCTAATAGGAAGGACTACTATTTTCCAGCTTAATGATTAAGTCAATTTTTTGATTAAATGCTTAAGTCATGCTTTTAATTAAGTCAGAAGTAAATACGACTTAATGGCTGAAAAATTAAGTCACTGCTTTATAGATTTTTGCATGTGCTTTTTTCATGCATCATATTCTTTTTCTATGTAGTTTGCTGCTTTTTAACAATCTTTAATAGATCAATACTTCAAAATAATATGGTTTTGAGTTTCAGTTATAATTTACAAATCATTCCAGTACTGCTTCAACTTTCAGGCTAGAAGCCGTGAATACAGCTGCAGCAGTGCAAATCCCTCAGCTATTGTGTGGTGGAAAAGTTGGCAACATAGACAAACAAACAAATAAACCATTTCTTCGCTTCTTCATATCTCAGGCTTACAAGTAATACATATGACATTACCTTAAAACCAAACTAGGGCCGTGTTACATCAGATGAAGACATTTAGAAACTGGTTGCGATGTGTTTTGATAAGGTAGGCATCTGAATCCTATTGCTCTCTTGTGGTTGGTGTTATTTTTCCCAGACACAAGTTGAGGTTGCTATAAAAGCTGCTGATGGAGATTTGAATGTTGCCATGGAGGTTCTGATGACCCAAAAGGCAGATTTGCAAGTATTTATGTTATTGTAGTGGTAATAAGGGTATGTTGCACAAATGCTAAGAATCTAACACTGTCTGTTTCCCACTGACAGGAATAGTTTCCATGACAAGGCTGATTGAATCAAAGACGTTAAGTGATGTCTTCTAAACCTATAAAGGCCAGAGTGATGATATTCCAGTACCCTCATCCTTGTGTATTCATGATTCTTATATTTGTCATTTCTCAGTAAACTGAATTGAGACTGGCATATTTAGGTTGAGGTATTCCTTCGTCATACATCTCAGCAACGTGGTGAATTGCCTCTAATCGACATGTTTGGCTCCGCAGATAACATTCTGGAGCTTTTGGACCATATCAAATCAGGTGTACTGATGTACAAAAACTTACCCTTGTGGCCACACACTCAAAAGAACAATTCCTCTTGCCTTAACTTTTCAAATGGTTCCAAGTTTTATGTCACATGAACACTTTCTCCAGTACAAAGTTGTCTCGCCTCTAATATGAAAGAGTGCTCCCCATTAATAATAGGGAAATTATCAATGACCCCCTTTGGAGGTTTGGTGTATAATAACTCACACCCATGCACTGTAAAAAATGCACTCTTATCCCCTCATTATCTTTTAATGATGGTTAAGTTACTTTTAATTTACTTTAGATAAATTATAGATATTGTATTGTAACTTTTCATTGTGTCCGCTTTTAATGTTGAATTTTATTGAACTACATATTTGATATGTATAATTAATAAATTTGTTTATAATAATTAATAAAGACCCTTCCCCCGGAAATCAAATTTAATTCAACAATATATGATCAAAACCGACTTACTCTAGATAGTTCGCTTTATGTCTTTGGATGTGAACTATCTAGAGTGAGGTAAGGTTTGATCATTTTTTGTTTCATTAAGTTCGATTTCCGATGGAAGAGTCTTCAGTGTGCATAAATTTATTAATTATCCGATCAAAGTGGTCACAATCAAAAGTTAGAGGAACTATGTTTATAATTCTCTAAACGTAAATTAAAAGTTACTCAACCATCATTAGAGGATAGGGAGGGGGTAAGAGTACATTTTTTTTAGGCTAAAGGGTCAAATAGGTACATGAACTAACTTAAAGTGTTCAATTAGCCCCTTATATAGGAGGTTCTGCCCGGTCGTCGCCAATTGGGGCGGTTCTCGGTGGAATTTTTTGATGAAATTTTTTGAGCATCTTCTTCATTAAGTCTAGTTTACTCATATCAAATTTCAGCTAAAAATTAAATCGGGAACGCAGTCAAATGATTTTTCAAAATGTACTGCGTTGTTTACCTGCGCAGTTATCTTCAAAAAATCATTTGACTGCCTTCCCGGTTGAATTTTTAGCTTAAATTTGGTATGGATAAACTAGACTTAATGAAGAAGATGCTCATAAAATTTAATCAAAAAATTCCACCGGGAAACGGCCCAATTGGCGACGACCGAACAGAACCTCCTATATAAGGGGCTAATTGAACACTTTAAATTAGTTCATGTACCTATTTGACCCTTTAGCCTTTTTTTATAACGCAAGGGTGTGAGCGATGATTCACCAAGGGTAAATGAAATGCTATGTTGAATTTTAATGATCATTTTACAAACACAACATGGGTTGAATGAGATTTTGTTTGCTATTAACAACCGACCTGTGCATGAGATAAAGACTGAATTGTTGTCTGGTTCATGAAGCTACCCAGAGATAGAGGTAGGCCAATATGAATAAAAGTAGTATGTTCGAGAAAATTAAACCTCCCTGAAACAGATGTTCGAAATTTGCTGGTCCAGTCTGATCTGGTAAACGTTTGGTCTTTGTGTATTTTATAACTACGGAAATCTTGCCTGACACTGAAAATAGTCCAAAAGAAAACATCCTAACCAACGTGTACTTTACGCATTAAAACTCTATATGCAAAGTTTAAAATGGTGAATAGTTTACATGTAAAATAAAAATACATTGTTTGATTATGTGTGTAATCTATTATTAAATTACACGCAAACTCGTTGTTAGTTTGTAAAAGACTACATAGCAATTACGATAAAAAAATCTTTTATATATACTCTTCATAGAGTATAAGTAAAGAGCATACTTTTCATTATTATGTATACATACGTGTATGATATAACCAGATAAGCTTTGATGGTCTCCATTTCTTTTTTTCTTCCTATTTATCTCTACATTTTTCTCTATTTTATTCACTAGCATACGCCACCATAATTTTCCTCCTCTCTATCTCTCTCCAACTGGAAGTATCCAGTTATTTCTGCCGCCACACTCCAATTGTAAATAAATAGGGTTAAATCGTAAAATAAGGAGTTGGACGTATTTTATAATCGGTATTGACCAATGTAAAACAGTTACCATCCTTTTCCTAGGTAAAATATTTTACATGGTACAGTACAAAATAATTAAAACAAACAGTGTAAAATATTTACTTTTCCACACTTTACGTGCAAAGTGTTTATTTTACATCGTACCAAACATGCCCTTAGCCTTTCAACTTTTGAATATATCTCAACAGGGTTTTAACCCACAATCAAAGTTGCATTGATAGTTGAAAATCAAAAGTAGAAAACGCTTTACCACATTTAAGTTCCCAAACATCTAATTAGGATGTTTCTTTTGGACTGAAATTTGTTTGTCTGGTCTGGTCTGAACTTGTCTGGTCTGATATATGGTTTCCGTGTATTTTATAACTATGGAAGTCTGATCTGGTCTGATTTGGTCTGAGACTGAAAACGGTCCAAAAGAAAACAACTTTAATCCTTTCATTCCACCCTATTTTTATTTTTGTCAAAACTAAATTATGAGCTAACCGTTCTTTCGACAAGAAAATCCTTACTGAACTCAAATGGTTGCTTTAGATTGACAATATAGTTCCATGGTTCTACCCGGTACGGTTTGTTAAAGTCTGATTTGATCTGGTAGATATCCGGTCTCCATGTGTTTTACAATTGTCGAAGTCTGCCATAGTTTGGTATGGTCTGATCTAGTATGTTTAAGTTTGATTTATTCTATCTGGTTTAGGACTGTAAACAGTCCAAGTAAAGAAATACTTAAAACCGTAAAACCCATGGAAACTGATCCAAATTGATATCACCAGTTGGGATTTTTAAAAAATTGACTTATGTATTGTTAAGTTCTATTCCTAAAATATGTATATGTTTCAGTTCTGTTTCTAAAAAAGGTAACATCTAGGAACCATATCAGAAGACATCATACTTAAATAGATCAGGCCTGACTTAAACAAATCATACGCCAACAGTTATAGAATACACAGAAATAAGACATTTATCATACTAGTCCAGATCTGATCAGATTTGATTACCCCAAACTTTGATGGGTATTCAAAAATTTGTCTAAAAAGACCATATCAAATCATAATTTTGTCTAATTAAAAACATGCTTATATGGACATAGGGTAGAGGAAAATAATTTAAACATCCCAAACTTTGATAAGGTGTGAGATAAGTACCCCAAACTTGCATATGTAATACTGATATATATACCTCGAACTTCATATAAAAAGTTATTTTCACATCATCATTGTATGTTTTTTACAAATACATATTTATTTGAATAATTACATAATTTAAAATATTCTAAGCTTTGTTAGAATGCAATTAACATTCTAAAATTTCACTTGTGAAATAAATGATATTATATTCGGTACAATTTAATTTTAATTGCATCCTCATAAATGTTTTGTATATTTTAAATTATGTACTTAATACTACAAAAATACATTTGGAAAAAATATATGATCATGTGTTAAATTAACTTTTTATATAAAGTTTAAAGTATGTATTATACTCGTATGTGCAAATTTAGAACACATATCTCACTTCTTCAAACATTTTGAGATATTTAATTTATTTAAAGTAATTGCCAATGAACAACAGGGAATAAAGTTCTGAACATCGACCTTGATTTAACCTAACCAGAAGGTTACTTCTCAAATAATCGAAGGAGTCTTCCGCCGCTCTATTGCCACTTTGAATAATCGATTGCTCGACCTCTTCAAGTAATCTTCTCCGCAATATCTACTCTTCCAAGCTTCGACGTTGAAGCTCTGAACCTGTGGAAACGGCTTCATCTCTTTTTCTCTAACACGTCCGGGCGCTCTCTTATTCCTGTTATATATGGTGTGTTATTATTATTTATCTCTATCGTAGTATCGTTATCTTTTTCAGTTTGAACTTTATCTAGGGTTTAATATAGTGGCGTTGTATCTCCTCTCTGTTTAGATGTTTTTGTATAGGACTTTCTCTAGTTTGTTGGAATAAAAACAGTAGTACTTTGTATAACTCTAGTTATTAACAGCTTTAAAGATCAATTTGATTCTATAGTTTTGCTTAAAGGAATGGAGTGCATAAAATGTGTTTAGTTGTGATAAATATTTGTTTATAGTTATTTTGTCCACCTTCATATTTATTACGGAGTATTAGTTTATAATTATATTTGTTCTTTCAGCCTGGCTACCTCAGAATGAATGTTGTTGCTGGTCCTTTTACTATTTGTTTATACTTATTTACTAACATCGCTTGTTCTTTGATTGGTCAAGGTGTGGTTCTTTTCTCAACATTTGATTTGCCCATACACCATTTCTTGAATCAAAACTATTTTCAGCAGTTTGCAAGTAAACAAAATTGTCAATTAGGGAAATTATTAATTTGAAACTAAATTTTCAGAACCGCACTTGAAACTATGAATTAATATATATTTTCTTATTATATCAAACGGTTCTGAGCCAAACAGTTATTCTTTGAGATTTAGTATTATAATATATGGCCATAACTTTGATGAGGTTTTTTGGATGTATATAATTGCCGCAACTTTGAGATTTTTTTGGATAATGGAGTAATTGTAACTATGACAAACTTTTTATACAATGTTTTTGTTTTTATTGATTTGAACTTTGAATACTTTTATGTAGCAGAAGTTAAATTGTGTTCATGTTAGGAGGAATTACTCCACTTTTAGGAACCAAAGATAGGTAAGAACTGAACCGTTTTGGCCTCGTCCGGTTCATATTTTTTAATTACAACTGAACCGAATTGAAAAACTATGTTCCTTAAAATGGTTTTACCAGATTTTAAATAAAACCGAATTGATCCCAGGCCTTTCCAACCAAAACCATTCATGGTTCTGAATAATTCAACCAAAGAAGTCCAACAAGGCTGTGTGTCTTTTGTTTTCATTTCCACTTGCCTAATTGTTTCTGATTTGTTTTTACTGAATTGGAACATTGTTTATGCAATGTATTAAAATCTTGGTAGTGTTTCTTGTCTACATCTAGACTTGTTTCAATCATTGGGGAACTGCTTATTCTGCCATTTGTTGTTTGATGACTTTGTTATGTATTCTTCTGCTTTAGTATTGTATACGGTACAAAGAACAAAATCTCGGAGACAGTTTTTGTGACTTCAGCTCACATTCAAAGTGGGGATTTTCAATTTTTCTGATTACTTAATTGGTTTGTTGTTTCTATAAATGAAGGATATTGAGATGGAGAATCCTGAAGAGGAGACTGAAGTTGAATCTGGTTCAGAAGAAGAAGACGATGACCAAGCTGTGAAATCGGCTGAACCTTCAAAGGATGCCGTTTACAACAAGAATGGGTTGCTAGACAAGCTTGGAGACATCAGCTGGCCTGAAAAAGTGGACTGGATACACAGACTCTCATTTGACATAGACAAAGAGGGAGAAGAAGTGGACGTGAATGATGACCTGGCACGAGAGCTTGCATTCTACACACAGGCCTTGCACGGGACACGGGAAGCCTATCTCAAGCTTCAATCCGCCGGGCTTCCATTTTTGAGGCCCTCTGATTACTATGCTGAAATGGTGAAATCTGACGTCCATATGGAAAAAGTTAAGGGCCGTCTGTTGTCAGAAAAGAAAAGGATTGAGGAAGCCGAGGAAAGGAAGAAGGCTAGGGAGAACAAGAAAATAGCTAAAGAAATGCAGGCTCAGAAACTGAAAGAAAGGGCTCAGCAGAAGAAACATGATATTGAGTCTGTCAAGCAGTGGAGGAAACAAAGGCAGCAGAGTGGGTTTGACAAAGATGCGAAAGCTGAACTCGATTTAGACTTTGAAGATGGTAATGGTAAGGTTTTCCAACGATCTGGTAAAAACAGGCCAGGGGTGGCCCCCGGTGATCGTTCGGGAGGGAAGGGCAGATTTGGTAGTGGAAACACTAAAAAGGGAGGGTTTAAGAACTCCAAATTTGGTTTTGGTGGGCAGAAAGGTGGGAAGAAGCAAAACACTGCCGACTCTACCAATGATTTTCGATCGTTCAACAAAAATAGAGATTCCTCTGGTGGTAAAAGGAGAAGGGTGAAGTGATCAATTTCGTTTAGCATATTTTTAAAATTTGTTTTAGGATCATTATTTGTATTTTGAAGCTGAGTGCCCCCCTTGTTTTGTACTCTTATCTATTTAAATTTCGAAATTGATCTAGCTCTGTACCTTTGAATTGTTTAAATATGATCACTATTTCCACACATTTCTTTTTTGAGTTATGCTACAACGCCTACAAGTATACCGTCAGTTACATTGTTTTGGTATCCGTCTGTTATCGAGTTCTGTTATTCAATGTATCATATAACATCACTTATCAAGTCAAATGCATGTTTGGTAATTAGTTGTTAATTGGTAGTTGATAGTTGATACTTGATAGACGATTGTTTTAGTTGATATGGTCAATTAATCGGGACGGGCTTGAAATTAAGGTTTTGGGGCAGGATTGAACTGGAATTGCAGGTAAGAGACTGGTCTCGAGCCTCACCTTTTGGGATCGTGAGTCGTGACTGATATTCAGTTTCGGTCTTAGAGTCCGTTTGGTAGCATGAAAATCGGCTATTTTGGCCGATTCTGCTGAAATTTCTGAAGTTCTGGCTGCATTGGCTGATTCTGGTGATTTAAGAAAAAAATATTTTTAAAATATACTTTATTAATAAAATAAAGAAAAAATTATATGTAAAAATAGCTAAAATGGTCATCTACAGTAACTTCAGCCAATACAGCCAGAAAAGTAACTTCAACCTTACTTTTTCTGCTTATTACACAATTCAGCGCACGAAAGCAAAAATTCCGTGTTTGGTGAAAAAGTTGGCTAATAAGCCTGATAAGCCGAAAAACAGTGTTGTCAAACAGCCTCTTATTTCATTTTCTTTTATAATACAAGACATCATGAAGTCCATTTAAAAGCCAAAAAAACATAGGGGTGGGGATTGGGGGGTTAAAGGTTTCAAAAATACAGAAAAAATAAAGGAAATTGAGATTGGACTGGTACCAATGTGTAAATCAAAATCGGCTTGGAAACATAAATAGAGGTCCCCGTCCAAGGCCTCACTATTAATTTTGTTATCGACCGGTCTGGGACCGGAATTGGCCCAGACGGGGACTGTGCTCATGCCTAAGTGATAGTATTGGATGTTTATAAAAATGTTTGATAATAGGTGTGGCTAAGTTCGTAACTCTCTTTCAAGGACTAGAACCGGCTCGGAACAGGACCATATCCATGCCTAGACACATGGATTAATAGATGTGGTTAAGTTTGTTGCTCTCTTTCCTTAAACGGCAGCTACTGATTGAACTTGCTTGCCTTTGATTCCCTTTATGCTTCTTTATGAGCTACTTCTTATCAAATGAATCCCAATGCATTCTGCTTGTTGAACAATGCAACGATATGGGGTGTATTAATAGATGGTACAATCTCTCGGGTTGAGAAAATCATGGTTTTGTCCATTTCTGTTTGCACTTGTGTATCCAATTCAAATTTTATTAAGAAGCTAAGTGTTCAATGACTAGTAAAAGAAAGGTTGAATGCCGAGAGATTGTAGATAAGTCTCTTTTCCCCCACAATTGAATGTTTCCTGTAACTTGTAAGTTTACAACAAAGATGTATAAAATTTCTTTTGTAATCAATGGATCTCTTCAATGTAGAAAGAAAGTATGCAAACATTAAGGATTCATGGCTTGCAGTAAAAAAGCATTGTTGACTTATCAAATAACAGACTCGACAGATTCATTCCTATGATGATATTGAAACAAATGAAGTTGAATAACAGTTCAGATATTTGTGGATGATGGTGGTAAAGGCAACCTCTTTCGATATTCAGCTAAAACCCATAAAGGATATATCATTCTATACAATGCATAGTGCAACATGCAATGACTCATGAAACTCGTGTAATTTCCTGCAACATAAAATGAAGATTAATTTCAGATAATATTTATAGCAACTTAATCTTTCTCGATGCTACATTGCACGAATGTAGGAAGGCATCGAGGTTACCTGCTAATTAAGGAAAGTCACCATTTTCCATTTGAGAGTTCATTATAAGTTTTGGAGTCGCAGGGGAATCGGATCTCTATACCATTATCACACGGACGGACTTTGCCCACCTCCAAAAGTGCTGGGCGCACCACATTTTCTTCAAAACTAGACATATTTGTCCTCTTTTAATTTGCTCTGATGACCGTGCCTTTTAATTTTATCTACTCCATATTTATTTTGTACTCCGTATGCATTCAAAAAAAAGTACTGGTTTGTTTTAACTATTTATTTAAGAACCCTTTTTATGACTTTGTTTTTTATTTATCAGTTCAATTTTTTTTTTATCAAACACGTAACTTTTGATTTCGCGCGTTTAGTTGTGTCCCAATAAGAAAATGCAAAATTGGAGTTAATTTTCTGACCGTATTGGGTGATGTTACTGTAAATGACTATTTTAATTATATTTCCCTATAATTTTTTCTTTATTTCATTAATAAAATATATTATTAATATAGTTTTTCATAAATCAGTAGAATCAACCAATACAACCAATTCAGTCAGAACTTCATAAACTTCAGCAGAATCAAACAATTCAACCAATTAAAGAGACCTAATGTCTATATTATTAACAATACTCTTATTGTTCAAAAATTAAATTAAAACAAATAAAAAAGAAATTGGAACTGAAAAACCGAATCAGAACCAAACCGGTTTGGAACCGGTACCGCTGAATTTGGAACTGGTACCGTGTGATTCCGGTTCCGATTCTCCAAAATTCAGAACCGCGAACCGCCGGTTCTGTTGCGGTTCGAATCGCTGACATGTCTAGATTAGACCAGTATTAGACCATACTAGGTTAGATCATACTTAAATAAAGCAAACTACTGATCCATACTTAAATAGACTTGATCATGTAGGATCATACATGATCAAATCAGATTAGAAAATTCCATTCCAATAAAAGCACCCTTATTTGAATTATAAGTATAAATTCATGTTTCCTAATAAATGAATTTATGTAAAATGAATCTGTATATTTCAGATTTCAATTGTGTCTTGTTATAAAATTAATGTCTCCTATATAATGTTTAGAATGTTGGATAAATAAATTTTTACTTATCTAAGTTTGGATATATTTACGAATTGGATTAATTTTGATTTATATAGATTTAAACAAATTTGATCATACAAAACTAAACTTAAAGAATACAGAGTAATAATTTATAGATTTGGCAGTCGTTTACCAAGTCACAATAAACAGATTTAAACTGATTTTTTCTCAGAACTTACATATGTAATATTAATGGCATATAAGAAAAATCCTAAAAAGTAATTTGATTTGATATCTTTTTATAAAAACTATGTATATTTTATAATAATAAAAATTGCCACGTAACAAGAAATTGTATGAGGTGTCAATTGTAATTGAAAATCAAAGTGTCGTGTTTACTTATAGGCGTATTAAACTAAACGATTTTAATTGAAAACTCCGTAAATGAAAAGGTCAAAATAGTCACAGCGTGGTTACATAAAGTAATATCAAGGGTGCGCCTAGCAACGCCCTTATCACAGTAAGAAATGTTGAGTTTCCTCCTTAATTGAGAAGTTCATGAGAATTCTATAATATTGCGGAGATGTCTAGAATTCTCTAGATGTGTGTAGAAACGTATTGAATGGAAAATGGTAGAATATTCTTGAACATAGTGGAGTTTTCTAGAGAAGTGTGAAATTACTTGGAATTGTGTGGAAGTGTGTGAAAGCCTCTAGAACATTCTCAAGCAGCGTAGAGTTCTCTAGATCCTTCTAGAAGATTGGAGAATCTTGTGGATACTTCTAAGAATAGTCTAGAAGTGCAATAGTGTATAAAAAGTTGTAGAGAAGCATTGAGGAGATTTGTACAAATAGGGGTGGGACTCCTCATTCCTAATGAAGTGAGACTAGAGCGAGAGTCTTGTGAGAGCCTCCTTAAGTGATGAGAGAGAGAGAGCCTTGAAGAGAGCTCTTGAGTCAATGAGTGCTCTTTAAGAGCGGGTGTGAGAGTGAAGTAATCTTATATACAAAGAGTGATGTGAACTACTTGTTTATTTGTAAAATCTGTCGTACATTTCAATGGTATAATACAAAGTGATATTGTCAAATGAAGTCTTTGCATTATGAGTGATTGAGCATACAAGAGTTCTTTGAGCAAGTGATCCTGGAAGATTTCGGGGGTCGTGTTTTCCCCAACAAAAAGACTAGATGATCAAATCATTGAGTCGTTGTATATACAATTGTTAATTGTTATAATTAGTTAGTAGATTTTTTACCTGACTAGAATACATCAGCCCCATCATGCCATCATGGCCATCATGGCCCATGATGTTTGTATCAATTTACAAATTTGCTGGTATGTTAACACAAGCCTTGGGAATGAAACCTGGGTTCAAAAGTGGTTGAGCTCAAGATCGAAAGCTTTCTCCCCAACCGCCATCCCCTTTTGCGTACTTAGCAAAAAATTGACACATTTACGAACATATGCGCAATTATTATGCTGCTGCTTCTAGGGCTCCAACTCCCTCCAAGGGCAACCAAGATCCGCATGTGAAGCATATTCCCCAATTTCCATACCTAAGTTTGACACAATTTATATCTTATATAATGAGCTATATGGAAAACATGAAAATGAGAATGTTGCAACTAAAAAGATCGGATCGGAGAAAGTATATACACATGCAGAGGGTATGGTTCCGGTGAGAAAGGTTCTTCCGTGAGAAATGAGAATGATGCACATTATATTCCGGTTCATAAAATTCCACATTTTTAATTGAGATAATGTACACTTCGCAACAACAAAAAAATGACGATATATACAAAAACGTCATTGCATTCAATTCTTTATCCATGGCCGTGCTTATTTGAGTTTCAAATTAAATAATGCACAATCGCCAAATTCAACGTTCAAGTTTTATTTTCATTTCTCTTTTAAAATGTTTTTCTCACTTGATCCTAAATCTACATATGTATAGGGTGTGGTTCCAAATCTAACAGTCCAAATTCGTTCTTATTTTTCTGGTGAGATGATGTTCTTGTTTGATCCAAATTATATAGGATTAAAATAGTGTTACCATTTTTCATATGATTTCGTAGTTCTAGCCTTGTAGATATATAGGGATTAGGGAAAACACATTTTAACAGTTTAAGTGCTATATACCGATATACGGAATAATGGTATAAATGGAGTTTTTCTAAAACTAATTCACAATTCAATTACTCTCTCCGTTCTTTTTTATTAGTCTCCTTAAGGTTTGACACGAGTTTTAATAATAAAGTAGTAGGGTAAG